CCAGCAGAGCATCTGGTGGATTCGAACCGTGCACCTCTGGGATTGCAGTGCAGCTCCTTGCCACTAGGCCACTAGAGCTCCCTGTCAGTAATATTTTTTTAAAAAGAAGCCCCCCCTCCCCGCGTTTATTTCCTCCTGTGACAAACGTCTCTGTGCTGTGGTTTCCTGTGGCCACAGGTCAGGACAGCCTTTGCCAGCAGTGTCATTGATGTCACTGTGGTCTTTAAGTGAGAGCCAGGCACATGCGTGTTGAGAGTGTAGAGTGTTGAAGGAACCATCATCTCACTTTTAAAAATGAGCATAAGAACATGGAACCAAAAGGCCTTTAGGAAACTCCCTGTTTCAAAGTTCAGTAAGTGGCTCGGAAGGGGCGCTGTTAAGGCCTCCCCACAGTGGAGGTCCTGGGGGACCCAGGCAGAGATAGTGGCCCTGAGGCCGCCTTGTCCCCTGGGCCTGCCTCCCTGTGGGGTCTCGCCCCTCTTCTTTGGGGGGATGCGGTGCAAAGCGAGGCCTTAGGATCCTCTTCCCCTTTTCCCTGGAGTCTGAGCCTTGTCTCCTTCCAGCCATTGCTGCTTCCTGAGGCTGTTGTCAGGGGCCTGCTCCTGCCGGCTCTTCCCTGGATGACCCTCCATCCCCCCTCGGCCTATCTGGACAGCAGAGAAGCCACAGGCGCAGGGCCTGTGTGGGGTCACTGGGCCGACACGACACCCCAGCACCCCCTCCCCCCCTGCAGGAGGGGTGACATCCTAGCCCCATGGGCCCTGGAGCAGGGGGGCGTATAGCTGACAGGCAGGGGGGCTCCGCCAGCTGGGGGAGTGTGAGGCTGAGCCCCGCCATCGACGACATGGACTCTGGCGCGACTCCCAGTGGCCCTCTGGACCACAAACTGCCCGGTGGCGCGCCCCCGTCACGGTCACGGCCGTGTGGGAGCCCATCGTTGCCCCCACTGTGTCAGTGCGCCTTGTTGGGGGTCTCGCTGACCCTTCCGAGCGTGATGTCCAGGGATCGGCCCTCCTGACAACACGCCGGAAGCTCATGAGAGGAGGTGTCGCCGTGCTCGCTGCTCGGCGGCCTCCTGGCTGCACCTCTTCCCAGACAGACGGACACAGGCCGATTGCCCCCATGGGACCCGTCTGAAGGCCTGCTCAGGGAGGGGCTGGAGCGGAGAGAACAGGCCTGGGGTGACTGCCCGTGGCTGGGGGGGCTCTGCCGCCTCCGCTGTCCGCTCCGCCAGCCGGACACTGCGGCGCGCTGGCGCGATGCCCCTGGCCTGGTGTCCCCTTGGCAGAGTCCCAGAGCGGGTGGCAGCGCCCCCTGAGTCGCCCCGTGCGTTGCAGGGGCGGTGAGGGGCGGCAGTGTGAGCGCTCACTCGGGAGCCCGCAGGCCACGCCCCTTCCCGGGCCCTGCGTGTTCGTCAGCAAGTCACCGCTTTCTCCGAGCTGTGCCTTCCCCGGAGGGAGAGCGCGCCTGCCCCAAACGCGCTGCCTCCCGGCTCCTCTGGGCGCCCGCACCTCCGTCCCCAGCCCGCTCACGTCCCTTCCAGACTCTGAGCCTTGTCCCCTCTTCAGGGCTTCCCACAGCTCCCACCTCCTGTGTGGTTTCCATGTAAGCTTTCCATTCTTTCCCCTCCCCCTCCCCCATGTGTATGTATGTCCAATATACACGTGCATTTTTGAAAGAAAAAGTGCAATGCTATTAAATACATTTTTGCCAGTTGTGAATCTTTTTTTTCTGATCGAACACACAGCACCGACATCATTTCTGCAACCCCACCGGGCCTCCACGAAGCAAACCAGACCAAATTCCTTTCCAAGGGAGAATGAGGATGGAGGGCTTTGGGGTTTTTTGCTCCTCCCCCACCAATAACACTGCACGCAGCCTGTTCTCCAGTCACAGAGTGAAGTTCAAGGGCGATGAGTCAGCTTTTCATTTGCGTAACCATAGTGCACTGCGAACAATAGATACTCAAGTTAAAAAACGTCAAGGTTTCCTTTTAAGCTATGATCTCAAAGAACGCGATTTTCTTTACACAACTCATGGAGAGCTGCGGTGGGTATTTGAATTGGGCTGGTTTCACCTTTGGTGAATTAAAAAACTCAGTGCTGTGGAGTTGCAAAAACTCATAGCTGACCCTCCATTGGGTTTCATAGGGTTCAAACAGTATAGGAAGAGACTGCCCATCTGGCTCCCACTGAGCAGCTGGAGGATTTGAGCTGCCACATGGGCGCCACTAGGGGACTGCAAATTGCACAAGAGGAGACTGCTGATTGGTGGGTTCCTCCTCCATGTCCTGCAACCTTTTGGTTTCTTGGTTTTCCCACATTTTCTCTAGAGGACCTCTGACTCTGTAGTCCATAAAGAGATTGGCTGCCAACTCCAAAGTGGTGCCTCTCTGGCAGTTCAAATCCACCAGCTTCTCTACAGGACAATCACTTCCTGTCTGATTCACAGCCTCTGAAAACTGCCGGAGGGTCAGCCAGCAAGAACGGACTGACGGCAATGAGAAAGGCAGCTTATGTAGCATAGGCGCTGGATGCCACTTGTTCATTTCCGTGTGGCTTTGTTTCACTTGTGACATTCGCGTGAACTGTCACTGTGGTAACATAACCGTGTGTGGCTGCTGTTCCTTCATTTCCTTCGCTATTCACTAAGGTGTCACTGTGTATTCCCGTCAGGTGCAGTTCGAGGCCCTTACGAACATTCTTCCTCACTGACATGGCAATTATCTCCCCCTGTGCTGAATTTGATTTTTTTTCATAACAAGTTATGACTTCGAGTTGTGGTGCTGGAGGAGAGTACTTTCAGCTTCACAAGTTCTTTGCCATCTTGCTGGAAACTGGCAATTTTTCTTTTTCGTTTTGGCAGAGAGAGGTGACACCTGTCCCACTCACAGGGCACTTAGTGGACGAGAGGCCAACAGCAGAGCCCTCCCGTCCCCTTGGATGCCTGATGAGGCATTTGTGCTCTGCTATGTTGAGTCAGAATTCACTACTGGTAGTGGGTTTTTAAATCACACATGTAAGTTTCTTCTCACCCAGGAAACCCCCTGGTAGTAGGCTTTCCTAGCAACAGCATATTTGAGAAGTTGGCAGTCAAGTCATTCCTGATCTCAAACTGGGTAATGGGCAATCGTAGTACCGCAAGTAAAAAGTTTTCTTATGCTAACTCCCGTTGAGATCCCAGAGAAGAGCTGATTTGCTTGCTGTAACCCCAGCTGAGAAAGTCAAGCTTGCCCACTCGGACATGTTTTCCCAAACAGGAATGGCCCAGTCCTCTTGTTAGCCATCTTTGCCCAGAAAACATATATTCTTTTTTATGGAGCCCAGAATATGAAGTATACATTTATCTTATGAAGAAACTTACAATTTCTATTCTCCTTTGTGAAATGAAGGCTCTTTGCAAAATAATAAAGGCAAACCTACAACCAGGAGAGGATAAAATAAATGGGACCTTCTAAGAATCAAATCCCCATGCACATCAAAATCTCCACTAATAGGGTAAAAAGGAAAGAAAGACTCGGCAAAAATATTTGGTAATGACTTATCTGATAAGGGACTCATATCTAAAATTTATAGAATGCTCCAGCACCTCAGCGAGGAAAAGGTAAGCAACCCAATTGTAAAATGGGCTCAGGAGATGAATCACCAAAGAAGACATTCAGATGGCAAACACACACATGAAGAAATGTTCAAAATCCCTAGTTATTAGAGAGATGCAAATCAAAACAACTATGAGATCATCTCACCCTAGCAACAATAGCGAAGTTCAAGAGAGCAGCAAACAACAAATGTTGATGACGTTAGGGAGAGATTGGAAACCTTATTTACAGCTGGTGGGAATGTAAAATGGTTTAACCACTATGGAAGGCAGATTGGTGCTTTCTCAAAAAGTTGAAAATAGAAATACCATTTGACACAGCAATTGCACTGCTGGGAATATACCCTAAAGAAACAGAATTCGCCATCCAAACGGATGTACTAAATCATCTTTCCTTTTTAAAAGAATCACTGTATGACAACGAACTGGCTGGCATAGAACACAAGCAGGACTCGTCAATGAAGTCTCAGATTGTACAATTTAATCAACACTGACAGCTTAATTAAGACAAACAAAGCTAAAACATTTATTTATATAATGATTTAAACAAGAAGGATGAGATTTTCCATGAAGGATGAAAAATTGTGACATGAAATTTAACTTAGGAAAGCAGTATTAAATGTGGTATATGTGATTCACGTGATACAGCTTTTTTTAAAAAAGTAAAATGTCAAAGAAAACAAAATACTTTTGTACTTTTTTAAAAAATTTTTTTATTTTGTTATTTTTTTGTGCATGTACCATCAAATCAGATCTGACTGGTACAGGAGGAAATGGTCCCTCCTTCTCTGGCACAGCATCTGGTGGATTCGAACCATGTACCTTTGGGATTGCAGTACAGCTTCTTGCCACTAGGCCACCAGAGCTCCCCTATGTACTTTATTTCTTAAATCAAACTGTTATGTTTATATTATTGAAATCAACATCAGTATTTAAACTTTTGGCTCCCAGATGGAATCTTGGAAAATATTTTGAAAGCACTTCCTCTTAAATTCTTTGGTATAATTTGGTAATTTTCATAGTAATCAATTAATTAAGTAAATACTTTACTGTGTACATATTAAAGAAAATACAACGAATACAAATGTTTATAAGATGAAGACTGAAGAATAAATTAAGTGCTACTTTCTGACCTCACGGAAAACAGAACTCTAAGATTTTACTTGCGGCATCTGTGACAAAGACCTCCATACTGAACGCAAGGACACATCTAACCAGATTTAAAGAAATATTACGTAGAACATCTTTTTGATTATTAGAATACCTATTCTAGATACCTTGAAACTTAATTTTTTTTAAGTAGAGAGACAAGTGTCAGCTTAAAAAAAAAGATGCTGGCTGAAGCAATTCTGATTTTTAATCAAGTAAAAATCATCTGTGCCTTCTGATTTGATGAATCTGGTATCTAGAATTTAATGTCAGTTTGAAGAATGCTACAGATTACTGGTGGATTGCTGAAATCAGCTAATTAATCTTCTTGAAGCATTTTCTCTATTTCTTTATCCCAGTTGTCATCTCGTTTCTCTGATTCAGTCACCACCTCATATTCTTGAAGTTCCTGTTGCAACTCTTTCTCCCAATCTGCAGATTCATCTGAAATCACAAACAAACAAGGAAGACTCTCCCAGTTACTTTATCTGTTGTTCGCCATGAGTTGGAACATACCCATAGCTGACCCTCCCTTTCAGAGGGAGTAAATAGTAAGGGAAGAGACTGCCCACCCTTCTCCCACAGAGCAGATGGTGGGTTAGAACTGTGTGCTTTTGGAATTGCAATGCAGTTTCTTACCACTAGGCCACCAGAGCGCCTTTTTAAAATAAAATTGAATTTACCTAGGCCTCTCCTTTTCCTTTTATTCAAGGGCTTGCAAGTGAAGGTCTACCACTACTGATGATGATGATGAGATGATGGTGGTGGTAGCCAAAATGTGGGCCAACCACTGAGCTAAGTAAGCCCTTTCTATATATCCCTCATTTCAGACAGGGGAATGGAGGTTTAGAGATCAAGTGACCTTCTCCAGATCAGACAGACACGCAACTAGACAGCCCAGGTTTCCAAGTCCCACTTGCTTCCCTTTCCCTGCCAGCTCCTTGCTCCTTCTCTCTGGGGTTGGGGGTGGGAGAGGGGGGCCTCCAGGGAAACAGGTTTCCGGCTCAACCAGGGGAGGCAGCTGGCTTCCCAAAGGCTCTGTGCACCTGAGAGGCCTTCAGGGGACCGGCTTCATGGAATAGTAATTAACCAGTTCTGTTTTCTGTTCAGCATAAAGCCAGGCACTGGTGCCAAAGAAAGCGCTGTCCCTCTTCTTTGGTTCTCTGTTGTGACCCTTCCTCAAAGGCTGCCTGCTCCAGCCTGGGAGTGCAGCTCTCCTCAGAGCCTGGGCAAGGGGCCTACCGCCTATGCCTCCAGGGATACACTGCAGCTTCGCATCTGCTTTTCTGTCGTCCTCTCCCTCCAGGAGGTATATAGCTTTCTTTCCTAAACATTTTTTTTTCACTAGCACTTGGTGCTAATGAAAATACCTTGGATGGGGGAAGGGAATGATTGGTGGTCAGAAAACAAAAGTGGCATTTGCATAAAAGTTCCTGGGCGGAAAACAAAGGTAGTGTTATTTTCATAAAAACAGGACACAGGTCAAGTCAGCAGTTAAGAGTGGAAGGCCCTTAGGCAGGTGTCTAGAACCAAATGCTTCGCCTCCTGGGGGGTGGCATTCTGTCAGCGTTTGCAAACAAACCCTGGGGTTTTCCTCTGCTTGTGCTGGGGGCAGGGGAGCTGCAGAGGTCTGCTCAGTGACCACAGGCCACCTTGCCAGGAGCACAGACTCACTTCTGATGCAAAATCTACTCTAAAAAATTTGACAAGATTACTTCATTGTGGCAAAAATATATAGAATGAGACATCTGCTAATTTAACATTTCTCTTTTTTTCTTATTTTTCTTTTCTTGTTTTGTATTGTAGAATTGGATCCAACTGGCACAGGAGGAGATTGCTCCTCCTTCTCCAGTGGAGAAATCTGGTGGATTTGAACTGCTCGCCTTTGGGACTGCAGCGCAGCTAATTCAACATTTTTTAAATTTTTTTTTAATTCAACATTTCTTAAAGGTACACCAGGGACACTGACTTACACTCAGGCTGTGTAGCCAACAGCACTACTCCATTCCATGATCCCTCACCCCGAAAAGTAAGCCCCTAGCCAATGTCTTGTTCACAGGGCCACTTAAGGATAACACTTTTCTCCAATGAGCCTAGGGATCCAGGCTGGGGCTGCTTTCCTGGTCTCGTCTAGTACCTTCCAGAACCGCTGCCTCCTCTTCCTTTTTGTCCAGCACGAGTTGCTCCATTTCTTTCCGCAGATCCTCCTGGTTTAAGTTACAGGTCTCGAATGCATCGCTGACAAACTCAGAAACGCCTGGGCTTGTGGAAATCTCCTCCTCATCCTGCAAGTCAACAAAGGAGCTCTGGAAGCCACCGTCTAAGTGGCACTTAAGTGTGAGTGTTCCCTCAGGATTTAAAGCAATGTTGATGCCATTTCCTTCCTCCACTAGGTCTCAGCCTTCTACCTTCACTGGCACTTGGTGATGGAGTGAGCCACCACCTGGGTCTCTCTGGTGGCTCTGTGTTTGGGGCACTGGAGTCACTATCTAAGCCCTTCAAGCATACCTACAAGGACACAAGGTCCTCCTCTGAGCTGAGCTCTCTGACTATTCAAGACCCAAGCCTCTTTGCCACAACAGATGCCTCCATACTCCTCAGGCGTTTTAAACGGCACCTGAGTGAGATCACACAGATATACTTCATTTCCAGACACCAACCCGCTAGGTACAATGTAAAACCAAATTACCTCTTGAGTTTTAAGCTGAGATTTGATTACGATAGGTGGTGTTTTGGGCCGTACTGCCTCTACGAAGTGAGAATAAGAGAGTCAGTAATCACTTGATTTAAATTCTTCAGAGTATCCTAACAGTGAAAACATTCACAAGTATGATTATATCAAGTAGCTTTCCAAAATAAGTTTTTTCCCCCAAGTAAATTTTTTACGTTACGCTGTTAGCTTTTCTCGGGTTCTTACAAGAACGAGCCAGTGAAAACACTCAACAACTTACACTTGGGGACATGACTTAATTCAGCATCACATTCAGTGTCCTTTATAGAAGGTTTTAAGTAGGGTTTTTCAAATTTACATCACTGCCAGTAAGAGCACTGTGGCAGTGTTATGTTGTTTCAGGATCATGAGAATCCAGTTATTTACCAAGTTTCACCTTTGTCGTGAGGTTGGGGAGCACAGGGGCAACTCAGATGCCCAGCACACGTGTGGGCGCGGCAGCCATCTTCCTCAGCGCTCTCGCCCTCTTTTGCTCAGCATACATCTAGGGTCTTTACAGACCACTGTCCTCACAGGACTGATTGAGTTACACAGGCATGATCTGGTAAAGTGACATGTTCTGGTAACATTAACAAAAAGCAATGCCTGAAGAATGCTAGACAACTGGAATTCGTGTCAACATTGGTGCCGAAAAGGGCTCATTTTTTTTTCTTTTTTATTTTATTATTTTTGTGTAAGTGTACCGTCAAATCAGATCTGACTGGTACAGGAGGAGATTGTCCCTCCTTTCCAGGCAGAGCATCTGGTGGATTCGAACCGTGAGCCTCTGGGATTGTAGTTGCAGCTCCTTACCACTAGGCCACCAGAGGGCCCCTGAAAAGGGCTCATTTTAACGTTCAGAGCAACTGACTGGATTCCGTTTCCCAGCCCTCTGTGCCACATCGGAACACTTCTTCACACGGGCTGCATGCCCTGGACCTCTGACATGCGTTACTGCCCAAGCCCTTAAAAACCCATAACCTATATTCCTCACTGCCCGTGGAGGGGGCCCCTCTAGTCGTAATTAGCAACTATACATAGCAGGTGCTCATTAAACACTAACAAGTGACATAAAAGTGATTTCTTATTTCTGTGATTATCACTGTCATTCAGTCTTGCTAACATTGCAAAGCCGAGGCTCCTGTCTCAACAACTCGGGTAAGCTAGTGAAAGCAAGCTAAAGGTTTCCTTTGCTGGCGGCCAGCTCAGAACTGGGTACGTGGAGCTTGAGTTGGGACAGTTCCATTCTGCTCGGCCACCTCTGCTTCTCTAGGAAACGTCAGGCCTAACGGAGAACAGACATAGAACAAAGAGATGGCAGTGTGAACCAGAGCACAGGACAGCAGGCCTGGACAGTCACGTGTGCTAACGGGCAAGGAAGGAGATGTGGGGAAGATGACTGGTAATCAGGAGGGGACTAAGAAAAGAAAAACATGAAAAAACTTAAGGAATGAGGAAAGGGCCCAAAAGAAAGCAGCTGAGTCAGAGAGGGCAACTGAAAATCATTTTCCTTCCGGAAAGGCAAACACTTTTCCACACGGCCATGATATTTCTGATTTAAGCAAGACAACAAGATCAGGAGAGTCTCTTAGGCTAGGTTCAAAATATTGGAGTGGTTCTTCCCACAGAGGCAAGTGCTGGCCTCTGAACGTACCTGGCAGTGGCAAGTCGCCGTCCCTGCTATTGGCCCTGTCCTCCTTTCCAGCGGCCTGCTGCTGGGCGGCCAGGGCAGTCAGCTGGGCCGACTGCTTGATCAGAGAAACGCGGTAGAAGTAGTTCCTCCAAAACACTTCTTCTTTAACACTATGAACAAGAGACAACAGTTCATTAGTGAACACACAGCAACCGAGAGACATACAGGGGTCATCTGTTTACTGTAGGTTGGAAGAAAGAGGGCATTTAAGCAGAATTTTCAAGGGAGCTCTGGTGGCCTAGTGGCAAGAAGTTGTGCTGCAATTCCCAAAGTGTGTGGTTCGAATCCACCAGATGCTCCGCTGGAGGAGGGACAATCTCCTTCTGTGCCAGTTGGATCCAATTTGATGGTACAAACACACACACACACACACACACACACACAGAGACAGACACTCAAAGCAAGAAAGGGTCAACCAAGTCTCATTTGCTTTCAAATAGAAATATTGGACATGAGGATGAAAGAGATGATTTATCATCTCCCCAGAAGCAAAAGACAACCTGGGGAAAGAAAACCAACATTAACCTCAGCCTTTCTCTGTCTTTTAATGACAATGCTCTTCCCTGAGGAAAACAGGGCACTGTTGCAGGAGGCAGGGATGAAAAGTCAGGCGTCCACGAGATGACTGCAGCTTAGAGGAGATGCTTCAAGTAGTGAGACATAAGGATGGTGTTCAAAATGGCTGTCTTAGCCATGGCCTTCGACATGTGGATGGACAGGAATACGTGAATAGGGTGTGTTAGCTTATCCACAAGGGGACTGGCCAGTCTCACCACTAAACTGAGCAGATTCAGCAGCAGATTTTGAGAATCTTGGCACGAGTAAAGCAGCAGCAGGCATGCAGTGCACGCACGCCCTTTGGGGCCAGAGATTCTCGCCAGCTAGACAATCTTCTATCAACCGGAATTATAGCTTTTGACTTCCCTAATATGGTTCTGTGTGTTCTGTAAGCTATCGCAACAGATTTCAGACCCAGGAGAGTAGTAAGGTTGGTGTTGGGATGAATCGAAAGAGGTACGGGGGGGTGGGGGCCGTGTCTGATCCCATGGTAACTGGTTTTGTGTTGGGGGTGTTGTCAGTGGAGACAGTTCCCCTTTGTGGAGTTGGGACAGGTCAGATACGGCCCTTGCTCTTTTTACAGACGGTGAGAAATAAGGTGGTGTTCCTCGTGGAGGAAATGTGTGGCAGCATGCTGGTAACTAGCAGTCATTAAGCACTACCAATGAGGTAGGAGAAGGCTGATAAAAAGTTTTTTTTTT